ACCAAATGCCTTGATTATGTCCCAAACATTTATTTGGAAAAATTTGACTTTTGATAAGGGATTATTAGCCTAAGTAAGTCCTAGAGATTGAAACAAACAATGGAAAATCCTTATTTAGTGACATATTGACTAGCAATTTGTGAGATTTACATAAACTAGAGATGTGAAGATAATATAAAATTCAATCTTAGTTCACACACTTGAAAAATAGAGAAAAGAATAAGTTTGAGGGCGTGTGAATTTTACAAACGATGAAAGAATATATTCGACCATTGAGGGTCGGGAATTGAAATAACTCATAAATTCATTATGCGATACTTAATTCTTCGCACACAAACGTCTTAATTCTTCGCACACAAACGTCGATTTTACATTGGAAAAATAGATTTTAATTTTCGTATTGTGATTTTGAATCTGTAATTAAATTTAATATTATGATTTCAATCTATAAAAAGCCATGTTAGCCAGCTAAATCTTTTTACTTTGCTTGATTGACTGGCCACCAATTATGTAATAGTGCATATTTGTGTGTTTGTTAGGTTTTAGTTTGGTTTGAGGACAAATAAAAAGTCAAGTCTGGGAGCGTGACAAGTATAGTTTTTATACCTATTCGAGGCTCTAAATAATGGTATTTTATTGTCTTTTGAATTAAATTCTACCTAATTTATGTTAAATTATATCTTGTAGGTAAAACTTTAAGTTTAATGAAGAATTGAAGTACATAATGCAAAATAACGAAAAAATGGAAAAATTCATAGTACTAGGACTTGGAAGGAAGCATTAATATTAAGAAAAAATTACCTAAAACCCTTCTTTTCAAGTTTACAATTCAAAAATAAGGTCATAAAGTTTACTTTTCAAAATTCAGGTTATAAATAAGATTATTAATTATATTATTTTCTCTCTATATCCCAAATCTCGTGTACGCCACTGCCAGACAAGACGCCACCACCATCGCCACGCTCAAGGGCCCACCACCGAGCGGCGTCGCTCTAAAGAAGAAGCGCCGCGACAATCCCAAACCAAGATCTCTCTTCTTTCTCTATATCTCTCTCTATCACCCACTCTACCAACCCACCCACCCCTCACACTCTCTGTACTATCTATCCGATGGAGCATAATCGCCGGAGAAAAAGCTATAAGTAGATCTTTCAAACCCTAAAATTCTCACCCTCGTTCTTTCCATCTTCTATTTCTTTACACACCTAACCACCCACCATCTCCAACATCACTAGCCGCAGCGAAGCTTCTCGTCTCGTCGACGATGACGTCGCTGCTGCTACAAGCAATAACAAGCTCTACTCACAATAGCGCTGTTTAGTAATGGGGATGTGGAGACTTTTGACAACGGTACATGGTCGGTGTAATGGATGATGTCTAGATGAATCGCACAATATAGTTTAGTTTCAGTACAAGATCTAGTTCCATTTTCTTTACTATTCCTCTTTCGGATTAGTGGTTTGTATATTCTGCAAACAATTTACTGGGAACACGTTTTTGTGAATTCAATTAAATCTTGTTTCTTAATCTATTTGTGCATTCCTATTTTCCCTTTGTTTACAGTAATACCGACGTTGTCCGTTGGTTAGACTCTAGGTCCGTTGGTTAAACTCCGGTAGTTTGTAATTTGTTTTGTTTGTATTTTGTGGTTTTTGTTGGTGATTATTGGTTGGTGGTGGTGGTGGGGTGGTTATGGTTAGGTGGTGGTGGTGGTGGTGTTTGCAGTAGTGGTTATGCTGGATGCGATGGGGCGAGGTAGCACAACATTCAATTAATGTCATCATTGTCGTGAATTTAAGTTGAAAGTGATGTGGTGGTTGATGGCAGTAGAAAAAAATTTAATGCAGAACAACAAAAATCAATTATTTTCTGTCAATCTACGCAGTAGATTTGATTTTTGAATTGTTGGAGTTTGTTGGTGGTTTTCTGATCCAATTTGATGTGGTGTGTGCAGATTGTTTGTGGTGATCATTTGTGACCAAATATGTATTTATTGTGACTGTTTGTGACGGGTTATTGTGACTGATTGTGACTTGGAATTCTGGAAAATTTTTGAAAGTTGGGAGTGGGTGGACGGGGGGTGGGTAGGTTGATCGGAGCATGAATTGGAGTGGTCATTAGAGCAGTTTTTTGAGAGGCTGCTAGAGTGATTGCTAGAACAGTCGCCAGAGCGGCTGTCGGAGTGATCGTTGGAATAGTCGTCGGAGTAGTCGCGGGAGTTGATGGCCGCCTCCGATGGAGAGAAAATGGTAGAGAGATGATAGAGAGTATACAGAGAAGGAGAATGATTTGGATTTGAAATTTAATAGATTTGGATAATTGTATTATATTATAATTAAAAATACTTAATAAATTGATTTAAGACCTGATTTTTGAAAAGATTTTTGGAGTTTATTATTTTTTTGAAACATAATTCTTATATGTAGGATTTATGTACTATTCTCTTAAATTAATTGGACTTTAATTTGAAATATCAATGGGCTTGGACTCTTTGTTTGAAAAGAATAAAAAAAAAGGTTTGTGAATTATTATATATATACCCACATTCACGTACACAGGGCCGACTAAAAAATATATTAGAGATATACAGACGCAGAGGCTGAAATTGGAGAAAACAACGACAGCTTCTAGGAAAACAGGAGCAGCAATATATACACACACAAAAAAAAAAAAGCTTATGAGGGAGAAAAATAAGGGCAGAAATTATATATATTCACACAGTGGCCGACAGTTTTTCTCAGAAGAAAAATGAAAGTGGCTAAAATTGAAATACACACACACACACATTGAGCAGATGATTTGGATGCACAAAAAGTGAAGTGAAGGAAATGGGCAGGCAACACGTCACGTTCCATCAATTTTTGGTGATGTATTTCCACTTTTGTATGTTTAATTTCAACGTTATGAGTGACTAAATACTTTTATGTTAGGATGTATGATGTAGCTTAAGGTTTTTGTTATATTTTTAATTTCAAGATTTTCATGTTATTTTAATACTTGTTAATTAATTATTGTTTGTTTAATACTATTATTTGTTTGCACAATAATTAATTGATTTAGGGATAATATTGAGACTAAGATGTGATGCATAATTCTAGCTCGTACAATAATTAACATATACATTATAAGAGATCGAGAGATAATTATAAACTATGTGATCTTTGTTGAATTCCTATAGATAAATGCGTTTATATGTGTGTGAATTTATATAGAGATATAATAAGTTCGAGCATATAAATATGATTAGTATTGCTTGAGAGAGATCACTAACTAAATCAGGTTAATTCTATCGTTGGCACGTAGGAAAAGATGGCTGAATAAATTGGAATTAAATGAATGATAAATAACCTAAGTGAAATCAGAAATCTTAACCATTCAATCACATAATCTTATCTATAATTTTAACTTAAGTTTGTTATTTTATTTATTAAAACATCGTTTAGAAAACAAAATTTGATTTGATCAGTAGTTATTAGTTTAATTTAAATTGAAGTGAAGTTTATTTATTAAAACATCGTTTAGAAAACAAAATTTGATTTGATCAGTAGTTATTATTTTAATTTAAATTGAAGTGAAGTTAGTTTAAAACTTTATAGTAGATGGTAATCTCCGTGGAACGATATTCGAACTTGATAAATTCACTTATTAATTGTCATGATCCATACACTTGTGGAATTTAACGAAAAACTACAATGCTATATGTAGAGTGTTACGAATGTAAATAATTTGACCTAATCAAATTGTACATGTTTGGTGAGTACAAGAGATGACTGCGACAGTACCTTTGATGAGGACAGGACAGGAGACTCAGTGGCAGTCAAATAATCAACAATCTGCTAGAGTGTCAGAAAAAATTTGACACCCTAGGTGACATACACTCATAGTTGGGGTGGGTGGGGGGATTTTTTTTGCATTTTATATTCACGTGAGTCCCATGCGGGGCCATGCACATGTTAGAGTAGGTCATCCAAGATGTCAAATTCTTTCTGACAACATGGCTTAATTCAATAATCAAATAGGACCAATTCTTGAATTAAACATAGTATTAATTATTGGAAGGTTCACGCCAAATTTTAGCATTGACTTGATCCACTTGACCGCATTCTCGACTTACCCGGCCTAATTCACTGGTTGATGCTTTATTTAAAGAGAGGGCCTTGGTATCAATCGATCGAGCTGGCTATGTTTTGGGACGAGAAACACATAAGTAGAAGATGATTTCTATCATTATATAGTCTTTTTAAAGTAATTCCCTCTAAATATTAACCTGGACACAATATCTCTAGTTATAAAACTTTTACACTTATATATGATTTCTCTCTTTTGAGATATGTCGGTTCCATATCTAATAATTTGTGGATGTACGTATTCTATTATCTTGGACGCATTTTATTTATTGATGCTTCATTTGTAGACATGGGATGTTGGCAACTAGCTCTTTTGTTGTGCTATTTGATCTACTGGAAAAATCAAATGCGGGTCGATGTGGAAGATGCAGGACATTTGAGTAGGTATTGAACACAACAATTATTGATGTCATTCTTGATCTTTTATCAACATTTTCTAGAACACACAATAAATCAATTTGTATGCATTGAAGGACTTCAGCCAACGCATAACTCTTGCAAACTTGGATCCATCAATTCTAAAGATGTACTATTTCTCCAGTCTCCAAGCCTGTTCGGGACAAAAGTAGGTTAAGAAAGTTAATATTATTACAAATAATTATTTTATTTATTACCATTTGTATTTTATAATATGCACATTCGAGTATCCTAAATTTACAAACAGAATTAAAACTTTGGAATCAGCTAGTTTATCTAGCCTTTGCTTGTAAGCTGTTATTATTCTCGCCGCTTATGATTTTCAAAATTAAGAGTGTGTTTTGGACACATTCTTTTGAAAGAATGTATTATTGAATAGTAGATTGATGGAGAATGTGTGGTTAAAAATGAAGGAAAAGTTATTGAGATATCTCATAGTTCTCATCACATGTTCTACTATCTTAGACACATTTCACTTATCGATGCTTCATTTATAGACATGAGCTGGTTGGGATCTAGCTTTTTTGTTGTGCAATCTGATCTATTCGAAAAACAAAATGCAAGTCGATGTGGAAGAGGCAGAGCATTTGAGTAAGCAAGCATAGCAAGTACTGATGCCATTCTTGGTCTTCTATCAACATTTTCTGGAACACACAATAACCCAATTTGGAAGCATTGAATGACTTCATCCAACACATAAGACTCTTGCAAAGTTGGATCCATCAATTCCAAGGGTGTACTATTTCTCTCTAGTCTCCAAGCCTGTTCAGGCAAAAGTAGGTTAAATTGAAGTTAATATTTTTAAAAATATATATAAATATTTTGTTTACAACATTTTTGGTAACCTAGAGTTATAGTATGCACATTTTATCACATTTGAGTATCCTAAATTTCAAAAAAAAAAAAAAAAAAGAAGTAAACTCCCATAGCTTATCAGGCCCTGGTTCGTACAATCTAATTTGTAGAAGGTGTGTTATTATTATCGCCTCTTATGATTTCCAAAACCATGATGCCAAAATTTAAAACATCAAATTTTACTTAGAAGTTGCCACGCATTGCGTACTCTGAAACCATATAACCACGTACAATCCCATTCCACGTTATACAGGGACGGATCCATGACCGAATTATATATCAGGCTAATATGTAAAAAAAAAAAAATTACACATGAATGAATTTTATTTTTTATTTTTTACAAATTTTTTTTTTATTTTTTCTAACTGAAAATGTATTAGTTGGGGGGGAGGGGCTGAATTTTATTTTTTCTAACTATCATATACAAGTCAAGATTAATGAAGAGAGACACAACAAATGTTAAGTAAAACTTACTATGTCTTAACAATCCTCCTTTTATTTCCTTGAGATTGATCAACGCTAAAAATTTTCGCCATGCCAAAATCCGATATTTTTGGGTTCACATCTCCACCTAATAATATATTGCTAGCTTTGAGATCCCGATGCATAATTCATATATGAGAGTTTTCATGAAGGTAAACTATTCCACGTGCTATTCCTTCTATGATTTTGTAATGTATGGACCAATCCAACAGTTGCCATTTTTCTGGATCTTTACATTCATTAAGAGAATGAATTGTGTTAATAATTAGCATTGATTGTTAGCACTCGCCCACTCGGGTTTTAAAGGCCAAGTCTCAGAAATGAAAAGATAAAAGGCCATTCATTTAAAATAGGAATAGAGAAATTATATTTCTCTATAGTTTCTTGGGTGAATTCATGTTTATCGGCAGCCATTGTATAGGATTTCAATAAAAAGACGAGGAAAAAAAAGTGTATAAAAACATTCTGAAAAAAACTGTGAATTACTTATTTATTATCATATCATAGCATAGCATACTAAGAATTATATTTCTGTAAATTACCTTGTAAACACTTCCAAATCCACCTTCACCAATTTGTTATCGTGAGAAAAGTTGTTGGTAGCAAGCTGAATGTTGTTCAAATCATATTGCAAAGGTTCAGCTGTCAAAATCTCATTTCCTTCGTCTACAAACAAAAATAGCACATCATTACGCAAAGTTCTTTAAGTTTGGAGGGTCTAATGCTAAAATAGCAAAACACTTAAAACTAAATCTTTATTGGATAAAGTTATTTTTTACTTTTGTATAGATACTAGTGGAATGCACGTGCAAGGCACGTGCTATAATATAATTGGCTACGTAATAGCGTTGACTGATTTTTGGTTATTTTTGAAAACATCACTGATTAAATCTTATTTAGCAAAACTTCTTCAATAGAAAAATTGAAAGTTTAAACGACAACTACAAAAATAAACAAAAAAGAATTTAGAAACAAAATGGGAAATTATTCATCATAAAAAACCAATATAAATCAAAACAGATGAATATCAATCATAAACTACACTTCAAATACTGAGTTCCTAGAAAATCAACAAGCAACAGAACACCTAAGAAGCTCTGTTGCTAAAGCCCGCATATGCTAGTCATAATCATTTTGAACAGAGAAAATCCAATATGTAAAAGTTTAATATACTAACCTCTACTGAGAACTACAAATCATTACAGGTGCTTGCCACCGGCTTAAATTCAACCTGAGCAAGAAGACACATTATGATGAACCTGGAAAAGAATAAATGCTATTTGACATTGTTTCTTGCTAGTAACATATACATTTGATCTGCATCTTTTTCCAATCTCCTGGAGCACATCAATAGACAACGAAGGCAAGACATTCATTTTTTCACTTTCAGGTTTAAGTTCTTTGTTATTAGTTGCCTTCATTTTTTCACTTTCAGGTTTAAGCTCTTTTTTATTAGAGGAGACTTGGTTTTGAGAAACCCCAAACTCTACCAAGAAGAGAAACCAGTATCACATTTAGAAGCCTCCAAAATCGTCAGACATTACAAGGAATAATTTTCATTAATCATCTTTTCATCTATCGATTTTTTCCCCATTTCTCAAAGAAATTGAAGGCAGAAGTTGGTGGTCAGATCCATTATGACAAGAACATTTTCATCTATTGAGTTTTTTACTGAACATTGCACAAGAATATTCATAACTTTCGTAATATTTCACCCTCAATGGATAGATGGCCAGAAAGATCATTATGCAAACTATAAAGAATATTTTCTGTTTGATGTCTGTCCATGTAATATGACAAAAAATAGAACATGAAGCAGTTTATAGATCAGTCAAAGATCTCAGGAAATTGATGTTCATATGTCAGATAAACAAATGCAACGATAGGAAAACGATCAGCCCTGAAAAAAAAATTTCAAGGTCTTGAGAATCTGTTGAATATGAGCTTACAAAAGTTTGTTGAATATGTGGATGGCTTCTGACCATGACCTTCTTTAATAACTTGCTTTGTCAATTTCTCATGAAGAACTGCAACATCAGAATGAACTTTGGGGGGACAATTTTCATCTTGAGCGGGTTCTCCATGCACAACTGAAGCACCTTTAGTGATGATTTCTTCATTACCATTTTGATCTACAAAGCATAATTTTATTTTATTTGTAATTAATCCAGAAGGTTTTCCCATCTCAAATTCAATAACATTTCTATTATTCATCCATAGAGGAGAACACAACAGCATACTGAATCCATCATAAACACCACAAAAAGAATTACTTTACAAGTTCCAAAATCATTTTTCAGCTTAGTCTTTATCCTCTGAAGGTAACCTAGAAAACATACCAATCGTAAAAATGATTCAAGTTTGATAATAATCTGCAGACATTTGTGTTACTTGTTCACATTGCAGGGTTTTCACAACACAAGCGGTCTATATTTCATTTTTCTTTTGTGCATACAACATCTGTAGCTCTTTACATTGTTTAACTTATGGACACAAGTAATGTAAAAATGAAAATTGGCAAAACCATATTATGGTTAAAGAAGGCTAAAAGTAAGAGAAATTAACTGCTGGTGGAATATGCTACTCCTCCAATTCCACCATTATTTTAGATCTTGCTAAAGTTTTCTTGAAACCTCCAAGTTGTAACAGCTTGTTATTATCCCTCTGAAAAAATAAATTAGCTCACAATCAAATGAGCCAACATATAATTAATAGGAAAAATGCAGGACTGTCAAAAGAAAGTATCAAAACAATAGTTTGATGTCAATCTGGGAGGCCGTATTTACAGGCTTGGATGTAGTTCCAACTCCAACATATTTTGTGATGATAAAATTTATTAAAGTAGCATACTGCAATCAAAATAATTAGAAAATGCATCATTAAAATTTGTTGAAAAGTAAAAAAATTGCGAGATTATGAATAGCTATACTTCATTTCCCTACACTTTTGATTACATAAGAGCATAATAGACGACTCATAAGCCCATGATGTTCACACAAAAATCAAAATTGAGTTTAAGAAAACAAAATGATGACGAAATGGAATGACGATGGCTTTTGAAACCACTTTTTCGGTAAAATACACTAAAAGCTAAAAAAAAAGAGAAGAAATGGCCAAATCAAGCAAAACCCACTATTAAGAATTCGATCATTTTTCCCTTTTTCCAAAATTATAGGCATCAAGTGGGCTCTTGTACTTAATTTCACCTGAATAAACCCCAACTTGTTCTCCGATTTCCCCAAACCAAAGCCTTGGAAACAAATTTTGTACAATAATTCCACAAAATAATCCAATGAAGAAGGCATCAAGTTGTAACTTCTAGAGAACGAGTGGACAAAAAAAATGAATACTTTAGATTAGTATTGACGAAACTGAAAACTCAAAGAATGATGACATGAGCAGGAGTCAATAAGTGAATCGTCTTCTTTTTAGAAGCTTCTTTGCCATAAAGTGAGTTCCATCAAATTGGTCTTTGTAAATTATATAAAGATAATTGTAATCTCAAAATAGAAGTAGGAATAAAAAAATTCCCTCCATGGAGCATGGAGACACAGTGCGCGGACACGGGCACGGTGTCCGCGTCGTGTCCGGACACCGCGCGGACACAGTGTCTCAGTGTTGCACGGAGGATTTTTTTTATTTATTTTTTATTCTTATTATTTTTTCAAAAGTGCTATATAATACCAAATTGAATAAAACTAATTATGAAATCCTACCATATATCAAACAAATTCCCTACCATTTATCAAACACGTTCCTTACAAATTATTCTCTGGATGGCATCGATCTCTCCATCCACCCGCACACAACCTGAGCAAAAATCAGTCAATTAAACATACTCGTGTTTTCATGTGAAATAGAGAGAAGGAGATACCATGATTTTACTATTGGCAATGGAAATTTGTACTCAATTCTCTATTATCACAAATTATTTTCGGGACAAGGAACTTCCTTCAAGACCAACAGAAGATCAGATTCACCATAAGTCCATAACACAAATTGGGTGACAGTTTTTATCCCCCATTTTCACCAAATAGTTTCATCAAAATTTAACGACAAGAATAGTTTTTTTGCCTTCTCAGGAACAATGAAGAACAACAAACATTCATCATTTCTCAAGAAAAACTGATCAGATCTCCCCAACTCACTATATCCCAAATCCATTTCTTATTCTGCATAAGGTGAATTTTCCTATAAATAAACACTATCAAGCTTCTCAAGTTTCTCATTCAACTTCATCCACGAAAACAAGATTTTTCATCACGTCTGGCTTTGCTTAAAACTGAGGCAAACTTATTTTCAAGTTAGTTATTTCGTCAAATGTAATTTACAAAGTTATTTTTTACTAACAAGACATTTTTTCTACTCTAAAGCATAGTCAAACATGCTCGTCCAAGAGTTTAATTGTGAATTTCACATTCATGGCCCCACATCATTTTCATTGAGTATTTACATTGCTGCTACTAATTGATACTATCTTGAGCTATGAATTCAAGTCATACAACACAAAACAACAATCCCAGAAGGAAAAAAAAGCTTTTTCAGACATTTAATTAATGAATGTTACCTGAGAAGATTCTCAGAAGATTCTCAGGATCAGAGGGGAACCAAGTACTCCTCAAAGCCTTGCGGCGATCGCCGGAGGAGAACCCGGTTTGGATTCCGACAAATCCATGAACTTTTGGCCGGTCAGGGACGCCGGAGTCTCCAGCAGTTGCGCCACCAAGTTGGCCCGAGTAGAATGCGCGAGAGGTGTCCTCAATGCGCCCTCAGCGGAAGACTAGGGTGGGTCTGAGGCGGAAGACCGCGAGGAAAAATAATATAACTCCGGTGACACCTATGAGGAGGCAGATGGCCGAAATGAATTGGAGTAGAAAACATAATTTTCTTCTTGCGCTTCTTAGTGCTGCCATGGAGACGGAGTACAAAAGAATTGGGGAAATCCTCTAAAACGACGTCGTTATGGTTGACGATGGGAGGGTGCGACATGTGGCAAAAAAAAAACTGGCTCTTTTAGTATAGATAGGAAAATCATTTAAACACTTAAAACTAAAATCAAATAAAAGTCTTTTTAAAAAAATAAATAAAAGAAGTTCATAAACTAAAGTCAAATAAAAGGTTTTCAAAAAAAGGGAAAAAAATTAATAAAATCCTCCTAGACACGCCTTGTTGCGCCTAGTTGACTATTAAATGGTCCACTTAGTAGTTGTTCGCTTAATTTGCACATACTGTCAAAGAAATTTTTTTTGCCCATCCACGTGCCTAGGCGACGCATAGACACATGTTTTAGAGCATTGGCCTGTATTTTTAATAATTCTTATCCTTGGTCAATTATACAATTTTCAAGTTTTCGAAATGCAAAAAAATTAGAATATTTTTCATAGTTTCAATTTTCAATTAGACAAGTCCTACTTTAAATTTATAAGAATTTCATACATACTTTGGAGTTTGCAATAAATAACGAGTTTCAAGATCATAATCACATAATATAGATAATATCATAACTTAAATCTAATTTAACTGTTTATATAAAATCATTTTCAACTTTTGTACAAATAAAATCTTTTAAAAACTTGAAATTAAAGGCAAATGAAAAGTTTTTTGATAATAAATAAAAAATTAATGAGCTAAAGTTAAATAAAAGACTTTTAAGAAAAATAAAAAAAAAATCAATAGAGCGCTTACGAAAGATCAAAGAGAGAAAAGAAAAAATTCAGCTGGTTAGAAATTGAAAAAATAAAAAGTGTCTAGACGTGAAGCGAAGCGTTTTTGCCCAAGTTTCGAGTCTAGGCATTGCCTAGGCGCCTTATAGGCGGTCTTTGGGTCAGGTAACATAACCTGATGGAGAGTGAAAAAAATTGCATGTACCAATAAAATTTTGAAAATTAGGTCTACTCGGCCATAGCCCGCCTAATTTTCCTTTTCTAAGGTTTGGGAATGAGTTAAAAAGCTTATTTAAATGAAACGGTTGCAACACAAAATGGAAACTATGTCAACTTTAGAAATAATAGAAGTTAGTAAAATTCACTGGAAAAATAAAGGATACACGTGTTACCTCTTTGTAGTATTAAATTAAAAAATTATTTATTTTGACTGTAAAATTAAAGGTAGTGAATAAGAAGAGGCTAGCATGAAAAATTAAGGTATTTTAAGATTGTGGAGTACTCAAGACAGAATCTTTTTCTGATAAAATCGTATATATGATTTGTCCCTTTTGGTGATATCACATTTCCACATCTAACAACATGTCAATAGCACATAATCAACTATCTTGGACACAATTCACTGATTGATGCTTCATTTATAGATTGTGGTTGGTTGGGGTCTATCTCTTTTGTCATGCTATCTGATCCATTCGGAATAAAAAATGCAGGTCTTCGAGGAATAGGTAGTGTGTCTGAGTAACTTTCAAGCATAGGAAGTATCGATGACATTGTTGGTCTTTTAGTGACATCTTCTTCAACACACAATAAGCCAATTCGGATGCATCGAATGACTTCATCCAAAACAAAAGACTCTTGCAAAATTGGATCCATCAATTCCAAGGGTGCACCATTTCTCCAAAGCTTCCAAGCCTGGGCAAACAATTGATTAATTTAGAAATTTTATTCATATTTACTAATAGTATGTTTTAATATGAACGTTCAAGTATCCTTATTTACAAGTGAAATTGAAACTTTGCACTCACATAGCTTATAAGGTCTCTTGTACCATGTGATTTGTAAAAGCCGTTACTCTTCTTGCCGCTTATGATTTCCAAAATTAGGACGCCAAAACTAAAAACATCAGATTTTATTGAGAATTGACCATGTATTGCGTACTCTGGAGCCATGTAACCACTACAAGACATAAACATGATTCCACGTCGTAAGTGTAGATAAATGTAGATATACATAACAAATATGAAGTAGAACTTACTATGTGCCAGCAATTCTAATTGTATTTTGTTGAGATTGATCAACTTCAAAAATCCTCGCCATGCCAAAATCCGATATTTTCGGGTTCATGTCTCTGTCTAAGAGTATATTGCTAGCTTTGAGATCACGGTGTACAATTTTAAGACGAGATTCTTCATGAAGGTAAAGCAATCCTCTTGTTATTCCTCCTATGATCTTGTAACGTCTTGACCAATCCAAGAGCCGTTGTTTTTCTGGATCTTTACATCCATTAAGGAAATGAATCAAGTTAATCAGGTTCATTGGATGTGAATGCAAGGAAGAAAAGCAGTATTCACATTGATGCTAACCAAAAAGAAAGTAATCAAGACTTTTATTTGGCACAAATTCATATATGAGAATCTTCTCTTCTCCTTCCAAGCAAAATCCTAGTAGCCTTGCTAGATTTCTGTGTTGAAGCTTGGCAACAAGTACGATCTCATTCTTAAATTCTTTTGCACCTTGTGCTGAACTCCTAGAAAGTCTCTTTACAGCTATCTCTCGTCCATCTGGAAAGATACCCTACGAGCATTATTTGGTACACGGTATTAGACAATACTCCAAAAGGGATAATTCCCACATTGGTTACAGTGACAAGGCATATGGGCTTGGATTACCCATTTTAACATAAGTTTGACCTTAAAGATCAAATTCCAAGTCTTAATAATATACATTTAACTTCACCAAACCAGCCATATGTTTATCTAATTATCCGAGGGAGTGTGAATGCAAGGTAGTAATAATATAGAAAATTATATTATGCCATACATATAGAAACTATATTCCTTAAATTACCTTGTACACATCACCAAATCCACCTTCTCCAATTTTATTGTCAGCAGAGAAGCTGGTAGTAGCAAGTTCAATAGTAATCAACTCATATTGCAGGGATTCAACAATCGAAATTTCATCTTCTTCTACACACGAAAACGGCGAATCAGTAAAAAAATATCATACAGTTGGAACGAACGTGCAAGAAAAGAAGAAAACTTTTTAGATTTAAATTCTAGAAATTTTATATTAAAGGTGCAAAACTAATGATCAATGCATTCAGCAAAAACTGGTGAATATGTAGAAAAAGATAAAACAGTAACCAAGACCTCATCAGCTTATTTCATGCTATCACACCATCCAAATACAGTTTACAGAAATTCTATCGAAAGGGAATTTTTCTACTTCCTTTTTGACCATCCGTGGCTTACCATTTCTCTGCTTTATAGTACGATATTGTTTCTTCTTCATCGTTCTCCCAATCAAGAAACGTAAGCCTACCAGTAAGACCACTAAGGAAACAACAACAATTGGAACAACGATAGCAATAATAACTTGTCTTGAGATTCCCCTGTTTCCTGTATTAAGAACAAAAATGTAAATTGACATTTCAAAACATGCTTATATTTATATTTGTTAGAGTATCTTCAAAAATAAAACCCAGACTCAAAGTTTTCTAGCCTATGTTGAAATTAACATTCATGTAAAAATTGATGGAGATATCCAGACACGTGTAGTGCTAGGTTAGGAACCCTATTAAGTGTTTGGTTATGCGTGAGAATTGAGGTAAAAGAGATGTTTTACGTTAGGACGTTACCTTGTTTGTTATTAGGCGCAGGCGCAGGCGCAAGTACAGGCGCAGGTGCAGGTGCAGGTGCAGGTGCAGGGACGGTTGTGGCGTTGTAGAAGGGGTATATCTCATACCTAATATTGCAGCTAGGGGAAATAACTCTTCCTCCTTTCTTATATTCACAACATGTTGGTAACCTGGAGTTGGCATTTTGAAGGCAGAAGTCACAATCTTTACTAGAAAGATCAGGTGTGCACTGCGCCAGGGTATACAACTTCACAGATTCCGTAAAGTCGGCATCTTTCGTAGCAAATTTCTTGCCAGAGAATTTATTAGCAGCCTGAAGTGACGTCTCATTCATCGTACCTACTAA